AGAAGCTTTTTTCCTCTCCATTAATTTTAGATGGGATTAGCCTCCCTCAGCTAACATTGGCCCAAGTGAATAGACCTCTAAATGTGATCAGCAGCGTGGAAAAAAAAAACCACCCCAAAATGATGTCCCTTGATGTTAACGGCTTATTTTTTTTTTTTGCTTTTTAAAAAAAAAATGATGTCCCTTGATGTTAACGGCTTATATTTTTTTTTGCTTTTTAAAAAAACCCACACAAACTATGATGTAATTTCTGATAAAACAAATCTGGATTTTATTTTCCCTTCTCTGGTCTATGTAATCAGTGACTGTAACCACTGAAACTGAGAAGGTATAAACAGAATAATTTACATTGAAAGGAACCTCTGGTGGGCCCTGGTCTGATCCTTTTTCAAGCAGATTCACCCTCAAAGTAAGATCCTAATGCAGCAAAATTAAAGGTTTCAGAATTATGAACTATATTCAAAATAGTCCACCACATCTTGAAGACTGAATACTGGCTACATGTATGGCAGATCCTCTACTGTCAGACATCAGCATTAGATCAAAACACATGGAGAGATGGGGCTGAAGGTACTTGTAATTGTTGGCCTGTTCTCTCACACAGACATCCTATGGCCATATGCATATGTATCTCTTCTCTAAGCCATTTCTCTGTCATCCTGGATATAAGAATACCGTTCTCTTCCAGTTGCATGCATAAGGATCTCTGTCATCCTGGATATAAGAATACCTTTCTCTTCCACTTGCATGCATAAGGCGGGGACATCCTTTACTGTAGCAAAATGAAGAAGGTGATATGGTTTGATGTGGGGAAATATGTTGTCCCACAAGTACCAGAATCTTGATTTGCTAAACTTCAGCACTTTAGAAATACAGCCAAGTATCAGTTCCTAACAGTGATCTTCAGCATGACACACACAATAAATAAGGGTAGACAGATGGAATCAGATATTTGGAAAGGCCAAAAGGAAAAAAAAAAATTTAAAAAAAAAGGGAAATATAAACCTTTTTATTTACTAGTGCTATGTTGACAGAGCTCCTTTAGTTTGGGGTGCCTTGCTTTTCAAGAGTTCATTTAAAATGAAAGCAGAGAAGCAACAATAACTCCATTTTAAACCTGTTTTTCAGCCTCTGTTGCTGCCTTTCAGTGCTTGAGTGCCTTTGTGCATTTATTCCTGAGCCGGGCAATTACAGCCCTGCATTTTCCCTGTCTGACTTGTGTTCCCCAATTTCACCCGTATTTCGTCTCTCCAAATAGCTCTGTTATTCCTGGCTGATTACTAACCATTCCTCTGTGTGTCTGAGCCATCTGAATAGCAGAAGATGTCTCCACATGAACTAGAGGCCCTTACATTCCACGCTCTGATTACACAGCAAACCACTTCTGAAGATTACACAGTAATACATAAGCAATACTCCCATAAAATACAGCCCCTCATTCTACAAGCAAGCTGATTAAACCCACAAGAGCTCACATGTACAAGATCTCCAGCAAGTTTTTGCCTCACAAGCAATGCTTTACTGTGCCTGAAGACTCCTGATTTCTAACACTTCTTACACAGAAAATGGAGAAGCATGCAGCAGTTCTGCAATTATGGGGTAAGAATCAGCCAAGTAACAACTGTACTTTCAGCCAGAACAATGAATGCAATCATGAAGCAATTAGTGCAGGCAGCAGATGGTTTGCTGCTCTTTTTTTCTCAAGACTGGCAGGAAAAAGTCATGACTGAATAAGGGACTGGTCTGTCAGCAGTGGTAATTCAAGTCTGCTGCCCAAGGCAGAGACACAAGAGAGAGATATGTGAACTAAAGCAACAGAGTCACTGAAGCTTAACAAGTTATTGCTCGTCAGCTGAACCCCAGTAATTAACCACATTCACTCACAAACAACACCCAAGAAACTGGGACATAAAATTACTTCAGCTAAACAGATTTTCCTACCATTCAACCAAACAGAAAAAAGATCTTATCATAGTGATAGACCCAGTAGGCTGTGAAGAGATTGAGGGATTATGCTATGTGACCCATTTCCTGTTCATTATAACTGAGCAATGAAAGGCATGCACTACTGCTGGCTTCAACCTCATCAGTCCTGAATTGGATGGACAACTTCTGAGAACAAACCAGTCCAGATTCAAAGTGATTCCTGTTTCTCCAGCTCTTGCTCTATTCATCACCTGATTCTCCTTCTCCCATTTGCTGCAAAGACACAATGCAAATGGATGACAACAATCCTGTGGCTTGCTTAAATACATGTAAGAGTGTTTTCTAGTTGATTCTCACCTTCCTCCTGTCAACAGCAAAAATGAATGACTGTACCATTCCTAACTGGTCAAAATCCTACTTACTCCTCAAAATCTCTGTCCACAAAACCTTCACAGCCTCATCAGTCAGTAGCATCAAAATATAAATCCCTTACCATGCAGATATGTTTCCCTTGACTCCTTGGGTGACTCTTAGCCAGTATGCACACAATGCCTGGAATCCAAGGAGTAATGGGTTCTCCCTCCTTAAATACAGCCTTAGCACAAGATTGCAAAATAGCTAACAGCAGTGTCATTTGTTCCAAAGTACCCCACAGCTCCCATTGCAATTATCTAAATACCTGCAGGACCTCTTAATTACTCTGAGAAAATTCTGCCCTTGGATATACAAACATGAAACCAATGGGAGTCATTTACACTTAGCCATAGGCTGAACTTGACCCTTAGTTTGAGTTACATTTAATTTAGTCCAAGCTGATTAATACTCTTTGCCTGCTGGTTACCCTTTATGGTTCTTGGCCAAAGCTTGTTGAAGTCAGAAAATGTATCCATTAGGCTTTAAAGTAGAAACCAGGCCTGTGACTCATACCCATACAGAGTACTTTTAAAATTGTATTTTGGATTTAATTGGTACAGACCTACAGACCTTGAGCTACCTGATTTTTGTCTTGCAACTCCAGTACTGAATTACCAACAGTTATCCAATTTGCTAATCAATGCCATAACAAAGAAATTTTATTGCCACAGCCTACAGCCTCTCACCCCAAACACCCCATACACACAGCTCCAATACCAGCCCCATAAATTCAGGTAAATGCACAAAAGAACCTTTTGCTCTTATATCCAGATTTGTTTTTAGGATACTGTAGAAGAAGAGTGGGAGTTTCCTGTGGTATAGTGACAATTTATTTGTTGGTAGCCATCTATCATAAATTAAATAAGCATTATGTGTATGGCCTCTAATTCAGAATTATTTCCTAAGCAGACTGAATACTACAACAGATGGAAATAATTTTCTACAATGTCTTACTTTTATTTAACAAAGTTCCCATGAAAAGTTTCATACGTCTTCATGTAATAAATGTCCTGTTTCTAACATACAGTAATGTTCATTCCCATGGGTCCTAAAAAGACAGCAGAGACCAGAAACTGTTCTGTTTCATGTTGGTCCAGAGAACTCAACAGCCGCAAGGGAAAGGAAACATTTTGACCATGTCTAATTACACACTGAACACCCAGAAAAAATTTAATCTGCACCTTCCTCTGAACAGAGTGTAATCACAGTACATTCTACAAAATTCTGTGAGAATAGTGAGTGAAAAATATTGCATGCAATCTACTCTACAGGAAGAATTAGGCAGGGACGATGCATTTCTCAGTTGCAAAGTATATTCATCTACAGTCCTGGAAGAATACTGTGTTTGAGTTTATAGTGCAGGACTGAAATATTCCAAAAATTTCAGTAAGATCATTTTGTCACCTTACCTACTTAGTTTCATTATGCATTTATTTTTTCCAGCTTACAATATGAGCAACAACAAGCCTAACTTACACAAAAGGGAAATTGCTTTCACAATTAATTCAGATAATTGTAGAATTCAAACCTTCATGTTGATATTTACATTAATGTATAACCTGAACAATTCAGTCAGTACTTAAATTATTGATTAGATTCATCAAATGCAAAACAAAAAGAGACCATTAAATTATTTTCTATGAAGTCCTATATGCTAGATGCCAAGATATTTCACTCTTTCACCCCCATTGGGACCTCACAAAATTTTTTTTGGTCTTTTTCCAGTTCTATTCAAAAATGTCAAAATGTCAGGATATGAAATCTACCATTTCTCAGAGTTCCAATGGCTGGTTACTTTACAGCTGAATTTATCTGTCATTGATTCCTAACCATCAATTTTTGTTAGACATTTTTATTGCTAGATCAAAATGCTTACTCCTACGTTTTGTCTTCCCTCATGGAGATATTTTTTGCACAACAATATAGTTTCCTTTCAATCTGTTTTTTGTTAAACTAAACAGATTGAGGTCTATCAAGTCCTTCACTGGAAGACCACTGACTTGTGAGTATTGATGTGCCTGATTTTCAAAAGGTTCTACCAATGAGTTCTCTACAATAAAGTCTTGGGTTGTTGTGTTAGACTGGGCAGCAAAAAATCAAGGCAAATCTCACAGCATATTTATTTGCCTGATGGATTACCCATACTGAAGGAACTGGACTTCAAAGGAAATTGATCCACTGCTGCTTTTTCCCTTACAAAATCAAAGACTACTTGAAAATCTGCCAAGCACATAGGAACAAGGAGTGTCTTATACTGTTCTTGGAGCTGATGCTAGGCTGCAGCAAGAGAATTGTCAAATAAGAGGACAAAAGCCTCATTAGAGGCTGTTACTCATATCTTGAAGGATCCTAGCTGTCTTTCCCCATTGCCTGTCACACAATCTTGCCAAAAGGACAGATGAATAAATGCAGACTGCCAGGTCAGTTACAGAGGGCTAGGTCCCAAGAACAGAGTAGATGCTCTTGTTCTTTACTTTGACCTTTACACTGAGGCTTGCTGAATGTTTTCTGCTTGGAAATACCAAACTGGTATTTTTAAAGACTGTCCTGGTATCACCCTCAAACACTGCCTGAATGTTCTGCAGCAGTTATGCAGAGAGATGGGGAAACCCTAGGTGCTTTCTAAGCAAACAAAGCAAACTGCTGCCAACAATTCTCACCTTCTGATCTTGGCTGTAGGCTAAGATCCAATCTTCCTGCTTAGGGTGGAAGAGCAGACTGTGGATGTAGAAGTTCAGACGGTATTTTTGATAGGTGGCTCCTTCATCAGAACTGATTAACAAGCTGCTTTCAACTTCTGGATCAGTCAGCAGCATAATCTGTGTGGAAGAGAAAGATGAAAACATAGTGGTGAAGTCAGATGGAAAAGTAAGCAAGCAGCTAAGAACTTCAGATAAGTTTATTAAATATGACTAGTTCAAAATGTCTCGATGTAATGTCAGAACTACCATAGTCAATATTTCAGTAATGAAAACAGTATATTTCAGCTATGTATATAAACACATAATATATATGACTGAATACACAGAATGACTACTGCTGGTTAAACCAGACCTAAATGAAGTTATGCTTAGGTTCTTCAAGAAATCAAACCCGAAATTTTTAAACATTAGAGTATAAACTTATTAAGTTACCTTATTAAGAGTGATCTATTGGAGTGCCACACAAAGTCAGGTGCTAAGGTGAGAAAAAAAAAGAGCAGAGAGAGCAGAGAGACACACAGAGCATGATCTCTAATGGTCAGGTTTGTTAAGACTCTGGCAGGAATTTCAGAAGAGACAGTTTCATTGCCTGAAATGTTATAACCTGGCTGTCTGCAACAAGCCATCTTGCTTTGGCAGAGGAACACATTTAATAATGTACTGGGTTCTTTCCATCTTCAGTTTCTATGGCACTGTGAATTATAGATTTGGTAGTGTATCAAAAATAATCTCCACAAAGTAAAGTTGCTTTCTAGCTTTGTCCAGGAGCACTAAGTTAGGAGTGACAGAATATATATGGCTAGCAGTTGTAATAACTACTTCTCCCCATTAACTGTGGTATTAATTGGTCTGCATTGCTGATGAATCAGAGAGAATAATGAGTTACGCCTCTCATGTGTCTCTGCATGAGAGAATATATAGGTCTGAGCAGTAAAAAGAGATTGTTCCAGCATTTCAGCAAGCAAGAGAGTAATGCCCCCAAGGAATGGGAATGAGGCATCATGACTGAAAAACATGAGAAATTCTAAAGAATTCTTGCCTGGAAAGGTATTAAAGCCTGAATCATTAGCATTTTTTTCCCTAAGTTGCTCTGCAAATGGCAAACACTGATCTGTTTTAAGACAAGTCTGAAATTCAAGGATCCACACCCAGCACTTCTCAGAGCAAATTCCTATCTGGGTTTGGGCACTGCAAAAATCACACATTACATTTCCTTCTCTTCTTTCATTTAGGCAGGCAGAGTTAGACATAAGATAACACACTACCTATGAATTATAGGGTGACACCAGATGCTAAAGAACTATTTGTACGTGAAGGTGTAAATACACACATAATCTACACAGATTGTATCCTTCATTATTGTGTAAGTGCCAAATTATTTTTTTTCCACCTCTAGAAAACCCCTTGGTCGAATAACAGTTTTGTCTGTGACTCAGAAGTTTGGGGTTCTGCAAAAATCCCTGAACTTTCAGATCTTGAATCATTGCAAACCAGTTACATTACCCCACTGTATCTCTAACATATAATAGGGTAATGTTTCCATTGTAGCATAAAGGTACAGTCTCCTATTGCATCTCTGATTTACTTCTGAAGCTTGTGATGAAAACATGCATTATTAAACATTTTTATCATTATATAACACTTTCAAATGCACCAAACACATCAGTGATGTGACTTCTAAACTGAAGACTGCATGACAGAAGCTACACAGAAAGGATTAATAATCAGAACACCAATATATAGACATCTACGATTACTACATAGCCTGTCCAGCTTCTGAAGCCAAAAATTAATCGTGATCTTTATCAGTTGGTTCTTTTTTCTTACCAGACTAATTTCTAGGACAATGTTCCTATGTTTAACATTTATTGATTCAGTACTATGATTCGAGCATTATGATTCTCCTATTTTTATGACTTCCTTCTTGAGTGGATTTTGTTTATGCTGGTATTTGGAAATATCACAGCACAGCATTAATTTGGACTAGAGCAACTAGAGCAGAAATAAGCACAAATCAATGGGCTTGATCCAAGCTCCCTGAAGTTAATAAGAGTCTTGTCATTGACTTTGGATTGTGCCTCTAAGGCAAGCTGTTAATCAAGATCCACTCTAGTCTCACATACTTCCTTCTACCTGCACAAGGAACTCATCTGACCTCATCACTGTCACATCCAAGCACATTGCCTTAACACATTTTCTGTCAGGCCACTCCTCTGCAGTGTGAAAGTGCTCTTATCTGCATTTCTTAGAGAGGGAAGCAAGGAAAAAAACTCTTGAGGCACTGAAGCACCTAATTCCTCATCCAGTCAATAAAAGTTAAGTGCCTAAACAGACTTGCAACACTGCTGACTTTGGCTTTAATCTGCTAACTACCACCCTGGGCTGTTAGTACTTCATTCTCAGGTATCTACAGTCTCCAGAAGCCTTGGCTATCGCATTGTGATAATCAGCCATTCTGTACAAAAGAATTGTTCAGGACACATCAGTTTTACTAGGTATGTCCATAGCAGGAGCATCTTAGATGTGGCAGATCTGTGCAGAGCTCCTGACTATTTATGCAAGGCCATACAGAGAGTTGGAGACAGGGGAGGGAGTTGATGGATGAATGTCTATAGCCACTAGTCAGATTGTTAACTATGAGACCAACTTTCAGCATTATCTGCTCCACTGTTGTATCCTGTATTGCCAAACACTTTGCACAGATGTCATAAAACAAGCCGGAGCTGACTATCAGTCACTACTCATATCACAGTTACAGGACTGTGTTTCTTACAAGACAGGAAAAACAGATTTCACTGTACATATCTGTGTGTAAATAATCAGAGCTACAAAAGATAGCATTTTTTGGATAAGTAGAAGAAATTGATACCTGTATGAAAAATATGCCAAAACAAGAGGAAACTGCTGTGTGTATCTATATAAACCTTTCAGATAAGACCAGGAGAGTGTGCTTCCTAAATTAACCCTCCAAATTATGGGGGAAATCTCCATAGCACCTCCTTACTTACTGTGTTCTGACTCATGCCACAGAGATCTGGGAGCACAGGAGCTGCATTCCCTTTCAAAGAAACTAAACCAGAACACTCCCTGCACCATGGCAGAGGTTGCAACTCGATGATCTTTAAGGTCACTTCCAATGCAAACCATTCGATGAGTCTATGAAACACTTCAGGAGTGCATCTGATGTTTTCCAACCATTACTGGACATTTAGATCAGAGTATCAGGTTAGCTCTACTCTATAGTCAGACCCTCTGCCTCCAAAATGCTCAGATTGCAGATGTCATCTCAACATCAAGCATTTCATTCCACAAACACACTTCCACTGAGCTGCACTACATGCTAATGTGTCTGCAGTCATGTTAGTTTAGTTGTTTTATTGCCTAAGCTGCCAGGAATATAAATGAGAAAGGAGGGGAAGTACAATTATTTTTAGTGCTTTTGTTATTGCAGCATATGAAACACAGAGTAAGTACATTTTAGAATTTCTTTTAGATAAATTAAGCCAATTCCTACTTTGAAGTATTCTATTACCTATTGATTTGATGCGTTTTTTTATACAGAAAATACAACTGGACAGAGATGTGTTAAATAGGAAATGCATGAAAACCAAACCAACAACAATAAGAAAAGTGAATCCAAGTTTAGATGCCATAAGCTTTACTATCTAAGAATATTAAAGTAAGATATTAGAAAAACTATTTTTATAATTTTTGGCTTCACTGTAGAAAGCATGATGGATTGCCAGAAATGTGAGCTCCTTGAAGGAGCATCAAACATTTTTCTCTCTTTCTACAATGTCTATACAGCATATTACTGCTTTCCCTGCTAACACTGGTTTTTAGATGAGTGTATTCTGGGCAACACCGAGGAATCAACATGACATTTGCACATGAAAATCACACCTTAAATCTATCCAGGTCCTTAGAACCTGTAAGGAAAGACAACCTAGCTGATTAAATCCAATTGGGATTTTTGAAGTGTTCCCTTGCCAAAGGATTTGAAATTGCCATGGAATGAAAGGCTGGAAAACACTTCTAAGGTCTGCAACTAACTAACTAACTAACTAACTAACTAACTAACTAACTAACTAACTAACTAACTAACATTAAACTAACACTGCTAGGTTCACCCCTAAACCATGTCCCTAAGTACCACACCTACATGCCTTTTGAACACTTCCAATGACTCCACCACTTCTCTGGGCAGCCTGTTCCAATGGTTGACCACCCTGACAGTGAAGAAATTTTTCCCCCCAATGCAACTTGAGACCATTTCATCTTGTCCTATTGCTTGTTACCTGGGAGGAAAGACCGACCCACCTGTCAACATAAATGATAACATTATCAGCTTGGGTGGGGTGATCTAGCAACTTCTTCCATCAAGAAGTGGGTCCATGCCTTCTATGTTGACAGTTTTCAAACTACCTCTGACTCCACCATTACAAATTAAAGTTATTAATGCAGAGTAAGAAGAGCTGTACACATCTGCCTCTCGCTTCCAGCAAAGCCCTTTGTCAAGGGAGACCAACCTTAGAGTGCCTCTGGTCTGGTTTACTGTTTTCTCATGGTAAACAAAAATGAAGAGTAAGTATGAACCAAGACTCTACTCCCCACCAAAACTAATTGCTCTCTCTTCAGATCAGTGCTCAGAAATTATCAGAATCTGCTTATTCACACCAGGCGCAGCAAGCACACGCTGCACTTCCTGATGCTCCAGATGCATTTTTTTTTCTCTGTAAAAAGTCAATATAGCTGACATAAGCTTTTGCAACCAAATGTAAGGCATCCATTAATCATCTACCCTCTGAAAAGGGAGAAACTTGATCTGTGTTTCCTAGAAGCGACAAATGAAAACAAACCGTAATTTATAGATCTTAAGTCTTAGTCGACAGGTTTTTCACCCATTTATTTGGTGCTAACTCTGCTGATAGCAGACTGCCCTTGACATCCACATGTATTTTTTCTGTACTCACAAAGAAACCCTGGAATTCTTAGCAAAAGGATTCTGATTTTGCTTCTATGGATGGAATCACGATCCTTATACAACTGCCCCAAATGCTAGATTTAGTGGCTTAGTCAAAAAAGTCCAGAACTGCTCTCAGTCTTTTATTTTGGCC